GCGCTGTGACTGGTGCTGAGGACCCGGGCGTTGGAGCTGCTACTGGTGCTGACGACCCTGGAGTTGGCGCCGTGGCTGGTTCTGAGGACCCGGACGTTGGAGCTGCTACTGGTGCTGCGGACCCTGGAGTTGGCGCTGTGGCTGGTGCTGTGGACCCGGGCGTTGGAGCTGCTACTGGTGCTGCGGACCCTGGAGTTGGCGCTGTGGCTTGTGCTGAGGACACGGACGTTCGAGCTGCTGCTGGTGCTGAGGACCCGGGTGGTGGAGCTGCTGCTGGTGCTGAGGACCCTGCCGCTGGTGTCTCTACTGGTTCTGGAGACGCTACGCGGCCGCGACCGTACTTCGTGCCGCTCCTTCAGCAGGTTCTTGGTCAGACTCCTCCTCCTTGTCCTTCTCCCTCCTTAGGGTGTCCTCCGCCTGTCCAGTCGTAGTCACAGTTACCGCCTGCCTCGCCTCTCCCTGGTCCTTCTCCTTACACTGGTCCCACGGGAGGTCTTACGGAGCGTCGTGAGCCTGAGTCTCGTCCTGTGTCACCCGAGTCTCGCTCTGCGTCACCTGTTAGTGCTGCTCGCACTGGTCGTCGTGTCCCACGTCAGCGTCCTCCTGCTGTCCCAGGCACTCACCAGATGGTGCTCCGTCGCTCCACCGCTCCCCAGCGTGTCCCTCTGTCGTCTCCTCCTGCGTCCTCTCTTCCTACTCTTCCTGACCCAGAGTCTGACTCCCTTCGTGCTGCCAGTCCCACTGTCACGCGTCTTCTCGCCACTGTTGTCACTGACCCTACCTTTGAGTCCTCGGCTGCGTCTGCTCTGGTCGCTGAGTTGGTTGACTTTGCTGCCCGGTGTCGTCTAGACTACGCCGCTAGCCTTGTTGCTGAGTCTGAGTCTGTCTGTCCTCCGTCCGTCGGGGGTGAGTGTGCTCTTGGCACGGACGTCCTTGAGGAGTTCCAGTGCTTTGCTGCTGCTTTGCCCCATCTCGTGTCCATGCTAGTTGCCCCTGAGGGAGACCCGGATGCGCCAGACATCCCGACTCCGCGCTCTTACGCAGAGGCGATGGCGGGTCCCTACTCCTCTCAGTGGCAGACAGCCATGGACGCAGAGATGGCTTCCTGGAAGTCCACAGGCACCTACGTTGACGAGGTTCCCCCACCTGGGGCGAACATCGTCAGTGGCATGTGGATTTTCAAGGTGAAGCGGCCGCCGGGTTCTCCTCCTGTCTTCAAGGCGCGCTACGTTGCTCGAGGCTTCAGTCAGCGAGAGGGAGTAGACTTCTTCCAGACCTTCTCCCCCACCCCGAAGATGACCACTCTTCGGGTGCTGCTGCACATAGCCGCTCAGTGCGACTACGAGCTTCACTCACTTGACTTCAGCACTGCTTTCTTACAGGGCAGCCTGCACGAGGAGATATGGCTGCGCCGCCCTCCTGGCTTCACTGGGTCGTTTCCTCCTGGTACCCAGTGGAGCCTCCGGCGGCCGGTCTACGGTCTCCGCCAGGCACCACGTGAGTGGCACGACACACTGAGGACGACACTTGCGGCTCTTGGGTTTGCTCCTTCTACTGCAGACCCGTCGCTGTTTCTACGCACCGACACCTCGCTGCCGCCGTTCTACATCCTCGTGTACGTTGACGACTTGGTCTTTGCCACTGCTGACACTGTGGCACTCGCCCACGTGAAGTCGGAGCTGTAGAAGAGACACACGTGCACAGACCTGGGTGAACTGACAAGCTATCTTGGCTTGCGGATCACCCGGGATAGAGCACGGCGCACCATCACCTTGATTCAGTCACACATGGTCACTCGCTCTCAGCTCTGCCTTCGGATGAGTCCGTAGAGCCGAGTGGCCCGTATCCAGAGCTTGTGGGCTGCCTCATGTACCTGATGACCTGCACTCGACCTGACCTTGCATACCCTCTTAGCATCCTTGCATGCTATGTCGCTCCTGGCCGTCACCGGAAGGAGCACATGGATGCCGCTAAGAGGGTGTTGCGCTACTTGTGCAGTACGTCGGGCATGAGGCTAGTGCTTGGAGGGCGAGACCGGGTTGTACTCACAGGACACTCAGACGCTTCTTGGGCGGACGACCAGGCTACTCAGCGGTCGTCTCAGGGTTACACCTTCAGTCTTGGCTCTGGCTCAGTTTCTTGGCGTTCTACACGCTCTTCTTCTGTTCTCAGCTCTAGTTGTGAGGCTGAGATCTACGCCACAGCCATGGCGGCCCAGGAGCTACGCTGGCTGACCTACCTGCTGACCGACTTGGGAGAGCGGCCTCGTTCTCCTCCAGTACTGTACGTCGACAACAAGGCTGCCATTGCCTTGTGTGAGGAGCATAGACTGGAGCACAGAACGAAGCACATCGCTCTGCGCTACTTCCTTGCTCGAGAGCTGCAGCAGCGCGGTCAGCTTCGTCTGCGTTACGTGGCCACTCAGGCCAACACTGCTGATGTGTTCACCAAGGCGCTTCAGCCTTGTGACCATCAGCGTTTCTGTACTCTTCTAGGCCTTGTGCCTGCTGGACCTCACTTGCTTACTGCTTGACTCTGCTTGTACTGTGATCTCTATATATATACCTGCATGTGTACTCTTGCTAGGTTGTGATTGCTGTATCTCTTGTTATATTATCAACCTGCATGTGAACTGGTCTTGTGACCACTTGCTTGTGCTCAGAATTTGTGTGGTATCCTTGAGATCCACCCTGAGCTTGCTTTGCTTTGCTTTGACTGGTCTCATGACCCTGTGGTTGTCTCCCACTGCGCCTATGGGGGTGTGTCAAACATTGCATGTTTATGTTGTGTAGGCTGTAGTGGGTTACACCTTAGGGGGTACACAAAGTTAGAGTTTCCTACTTGTACCAAACTTCGTGCTAATTCATTCATTCCTGCCTCAGTTATTCTGATATGTAAGGCCGTAGGTGAGGTAACGCGGTAATAGGTGGGCCCAAATCTTAGGTCCTAAGGACCTACTGCTCTAAATACCATCTCAGAAACAGGACACGAATGATTGACTATTGAGGAGATTGGGTAAAAGTACAAACCCTAGCAATGTGTTGTACCCTATATGGGCTACCCCACTACAGCCTACACCCTAACATTATATATATAATTTGACATTACGCATTTCTATTTGGGTCGATAGTTACTTATCTCGGCCACAAACACCTACTGTTGTCAGCTAAATTATGCTAGGGAAAAAACTAGTGAGTTCGGGATGAAGAGTAGCTAGTCATGAAACCCAGTTCCAGCTTGAAACCAACGTTCGCCTGGCGATGGAAACCATCGCCAGGCAACAGTCGTGCAGGTGCAGCACGATGACATGCGACGGAGGAGATGTGCATGGAAACCCTTTTTGGCGCGAACAAGAAGAATCAAGATTGGCGAAAGCCGATCACATTTGTTCACAGTGCTGCTTTTTTTGTTTGGAACAGTGCTCCATCGGCCCAATCCCTATAGCACCATTTCAAGTTGGGACATGGTTCATTATTTAATATTTCGGTTTAGGGTTTAGGAAGACTAAACACACTACGAAGACTGATAAAACAGAGTGTCAGCGGTTTCTACACTGATTGATCAGTGTAGGTAGCAGCACAGCACTCAGAAAATCAGTAGAATACTGGAGGCTGGCACTGTGAGGGTCATGTTTTTGGCCTGGGTACACATCCATCCGTGTACCCTAAATCCTATCTCAGGTTGTGGTAAGAAGGCAATGACCAAAACAAGATGTTCACTATGTGAGCTTAATTAAATTCATGACGAGTTTTGGTGAGATACGCTAAATCGCGATTCGTGACCCTCTCGCCATCAACACCTCCTCACCGCGCCTGCTGCAATCTTGTCCCCACGTCCGAGTTTCTCGCTCATAGGTTTGGTATACGTTTCGACCTATGGACCAGGGCCCAGTTCGGCAGGCATTAAAAAAATGGTTTCCCTGTATGGGCTACAGGTAATCGACCACTGTGGAACCTTCATTGATAAGCACGCGAAAGGTTATATAGGTTCGATATAAGCGGTTCGCCGCCGAACCTGACAAAAATGGAATGCCTGCCGAACACCCATTTTACAGCCGGCATTTTCCATCAGATGAACTTCCTCGAACACGGTTTCTCTGGCAAAGTGCCCATTTTCTGATCAAAACTGGGCCCAATTCGGCAGGCATTATGGCTATTATCGCCATTATGAGCATTTTTAACGGGCCCCCAAAAAATGGCTCCAAGAAACAATCTGTACCTGCAGTGAAACGCCGGGAAACAATGGTCCGAGTGTTCGGTTGGCATTAAATGAGCCAAAATTAATGACACCATTGGAAATGACACTTCTGAGAAGCCTGTATGCAGCTGCGCTGATGGAGCGTAGGATCATTGTACGGGCAGCCCGGGCAGCCCTGCAAAGCAACGGTGGACGTCGGAAAAAAACGCGCAAGGCATACTGTGCGTTCGATGTGTTAGAGTTTGTGTTTGTGATGTGCGATTTTCCAGCGGGCACGAAGAGGGGGTGAGAAAGACCGGGATATATTTTTTTCAGGGCAAAGTGTGATTGCCCCGAATCAATGATCCCCCGCATGGTGCGGGACCTCGAGGCCGCATGGTGCGGCGGATGAGAAAATGGACAGTTTGCCTGAGAAAAAGGGTTCGAGGAAGGTTCCTCTTGTGAAAAATGCCAGCGTTAAAAGGGGTGTTCGGCTGGCATTCCATGATTGTCTGGTTCGGTGTTGATCCGCTTATATCGAGCCTAGATAACCTTTCGCGCGCTTATCAAAGAAGGTTCCAGGGTGGTCGTTTTACTGTAGCCCGTACGGGGAAACAATTTTTTTAATGCCAACCGAACTGGGCCCTGGCCCTAGACCACCTAAAAGAAGCTTTCAATCCCATCCAGGTCGACAATCCCATCCCATTCAACTACCAATACTAGCCTCAGCTCAGTCTACGTCCAGCCCCCCAGCTATTCTTGTGCGAGAACTTTATAGTTCGATAATTTGCGGTCGCAGTTGTGAAATGGCGATGGCGGGAGGCATGGAGTTGAGGCTAAACGGGGTGGTTGTGAAAGTGGAACCGGCGGAGGCGGCGAGCGAAGTGAGGGTAACCGCAGGCGCGAAGGAGCGAGCGGAGGAGTTGGAAGCGCAGGTGAAGAGGCAAGGCGAGGCCATGGCAACTCTGAAGCGAGAGGTGGACGAAATGAGGCGCGCGATGGCGAAGGGGGCGCTGGAGATGATGGGAGCGGGGGAGATGATGGGAGCGGGGGAGATGATGGGAGCGGGGGAGAACCACGGCGCTGCCGGTGCCGCGGCAGGAGAGGCAGCAGAGGCAGGAAAGGCACATGAGGAAGTGGACGGCCTTCGGGCGCAACCGTTGCCGAAGGGCGAGGCGCTTATGGCCCTGGTGGAGGCCATGATCGCGGCGCGGGTGAAGGACGTGCGGGACGAGGTCGAGTCGCAAGTGAAGCGATTGAAGGAGCAGGTGGAGGCGGCGAGACGCGAGGCGAGGGACGCGGCGAGGGAGGCGACGGCGTTGGTTACGCAGCAGGCGGCGGAGATGGCGGACGTGAAGGGGACGGCGGCGCACATTGACGCGCGGATGAACGACGTGGAGCTGGCGGTGGCGGAGTGGAAGTCGCGCAGGGAGCGCAGCGACGGCAGCGCGGGGCAGCATGCAGAGGCGGAGGAGCGCGAGGGGAAAAAGAGGAAGAGGGAGGTCGAAGGGGATGAGCTGGCGGAAGTTGCTGCGGACGATGATGCAGCTTCTGATGGTGAAAACCGGGATGAAGCGGTCGACTCGAAATGGGAGGTTGAATGTCAGGAGGTGAGGAAAACGGTGGAGGCGGTGGAGAGCCGAGTGGCGAAGCTGGAGAAGAAGAGTGGCGAAGGAAATCGGATATGGGAGGTGAGTGCTTCCATGGTTTGAGATACCCCCTCTGTCTCGTGCTTCCTAAGCCCTATGTGTTGTTTTGCGCCACTAGTTTGGAAAGAACACGTGGCAGCCGTAGTTGGCTGGGAGTACAACCCCCCTCACTCTGTGCAGTACCCGGTCCCGACTGGTACTCGATTGTGCCCATGTCTGCCTTTGTTTGCCCTACCTGCAGGCAATGCTCACGCTATGGGTGGCAGCACTACCAGAGGAAAGTCGAATCAACCTCAGCGGCATCTCCTGCCTCTCAGACGCTACCCTCACTTGCGTCGCCTCATTGCCCTACCTCACATCCGTCAACCTCAAAGGCTCCTCCGGCTTCACTGCAGCAGGGATGAGGAAGCTGTACTCGCTCATACACCTGGACCATCTGGTCTTTGGGGCCATCGATGCAACCGATGCCGCTCTGGAAGGGATTAGCCGCCTGGCGAGCCTGCAAGGCCTGGTGCTTGACCACACCAACGTGTCAGACGTGGGAGTGGCGAGGCTGCAAGAGCTGTCTGCCCTCACGAAACTGTGCATGACTGGATGTGCGTCTGTCACGTCTGCCAGCATGGTGCATGTGGGCAGAATGACAGCACTGCAGGTGCTTGCTTTGAACGCTACTGGAATCAAGGAGGATGGGCTGCAGCATCTGACTGCCCTCACGTCTCTCAAGGTCTTCACGTTGCCTTCGGGAGTGACTGACTCAGGCTTGAAGATTCTGAGCAATATGAAACGCCTGGAGAAGCTGGGACTGTGGAATGCTAGGGTCACTGCGTCAGGTGTGAAGTGGCTCAAAGGCCTTACATGCCTCCGGAAGGTTGCAACTTACACGTACAAGGTCGAAGAATTAATAAGGGACATTCTCCCTGGAGTTGTTACAGCACGTACACTTAACGACTGATGCATCGGAGGGATATTTGCGACAATGGGCAAGTATGATTGCTGTTTGATGTTTAGGAAAATTGGTGTCAGTAGAAGTCCTTTGTACCTCTAATCATTCGGCATCCTCTAGAAAGGCCACTACAACATTCTGCATCATCGCCCCTACTGCTTATCTTTTTTATTCCTACAAGCCCCTACGGGCATATACCTGCTGCAGGCGCGTAGTGGTGTACCCTTAGAGACGAGGTGTTTGTATAGAGCTATATTATAAATCAGTACGGTTTTCAGAAATCGCACATCCTCCAGGACTGCCACAATGGCAGACCCTCAGATAAGGAGAGCCCCATGAGACTTGTACTGTACATCAGGGCTCAGGTTTGGTTTTGGCCTACTCATGATTGGCAGTGTAGCTTTTTCAAAAACCCTTATGGGCAGTGTGTACTTTTCCATTACACTGATGGAGCAGTATAACATTAGGTATTGAATTTTCTACCCTGCATCATCAGTGTGGTTTTATTTCAAGCACTGACACATTATGTGTAAATTAGGTGTGTATGACAGGTGGCGAGAAAGTTATCTGCCTCCCAGGTCCCCTCCCACCTCGATCGATTGTTTGTGAGGGGCGGGGGGGAAGGGGAGGACTTACGAAATTGGCGAGAATTTTGCCCCCCCTCCCCCTCGACCGATTGTTTGTGGGGAAGGGGGGGGGGGGGGGGGGGGGGGGGGGGGGGGGGGGTGTGGGGGTCCGTGTACGCTCTTCAGTGTAATCCTCGCTAAGGGAAACTTTACCCCAAGGCATCAGTGTGGCCTACATCGATACACTTACTGATCAGTGTAACACTAACTCATAAAAAAATTACCCCAGCACATCAGTGTAGACCCAAAATTTCACCCTTGTAATCAGTGTAGAAGGGTAAATTACACTGATAACCTGAGCCCTGCTGTACATGTGGGTGGGAGGGTCCATTATTTGAGGAGCTAGTGGGTGAGATTACAACCTGCTATGGCCAATGACCATGGGGTCCTGTTTTCATGATGCCCTCCTCCAGTGCATTAAGCACTGCAGTCAACTTCCTCGTTGAGTTGGCCCTGCATACATACAGCACTGCTTCCTTGCAGCCAAGTGGCTAGCTCCGTAACGTAAATCATTGCCTGCAGCAGCTCCAAAGCCGGATGAGCTTCACAGGAGGCCGTGTGCAGCATGGCTGCCATGGATCAATCTGCACTGGCCCAGGGCATGGGCATGGGCATGGGCATGGGCATGGGCATGGGCATGTGTGGAAACAGAATCTTGAGCAGGTCACGGTGGAAAGAGCATGGTTGAAACAAGCCCAGATGAAGCTAGCTACTGATACCTATATATGTCCTCCTCTGTGCTACTATGATGCTTTTTGGAGATGAATGACCAGTGAAGATCCACAGAAACAAGAGGCAGTAATCGGACGATTATTATACAGAGCACATACAGTACCAATATTGTTGGGAATGCATAGAAGCCTGAGCAGTACCGGACAGCAACAAATGCAGTACCGGCATTGTAACAGGTAGGACACTAACAGCAAAAAGGGTAGTCAATGACTGAATTTCATATCATTCCAATACAGCAGCAGGGAAGGAAACCAGGCAAGTACCGTCAAAAAGGATGGATTTGTGAACCTCGCAGCATTGTAGATGCATGCCCATGTTGACAACCCTTTCATTCCACTGCACCTCGGCTTCCACTCCACCCACCTTCATGGGCATACCTGAAATGGTGCTCCCGTAGCAGCAGGCTGTAAAGGGGATCCGAGGGCGCGAGGGCGACGAGCTGAATGACCACGTACAGACACGTGGCCATGCTGGTCGCGAGAGGGTTGGGGTTGGGGGTGTGACAGGCGAGAGATGGAGAGGGATGGAAGGGCATTAGTGAGCGGATGGAACTGGTGAACAACGACAAACAGATGCGTCAAGTCAATATCTGCTGGCTCAGATGTGAGGGCATGGGACACGAAAAGCAGAAGTTACTGCACGAAAACACGGGGCACGCTGGTGAGGGCGAGGAAGGAAGCAGACCTTCCAAAGCAGATGAGCAGTGCCACCCAGACTATGCGCGCCAGCCATGTCGACTCCTTGTAGCACACCCACGCCTGCACCTCCACTCGTGGTACCACACAAACGTACACGCACGCGCACGCGCATGCACACGCAGACGAAGACGCGCGCGCGCACACACACACGAGTGGAGGGGGAACGGGGCAGGCGATGGCAGAACGCAGTGAAAATACTGGCATTGACTGGAACGAGCACCAAGTGAGAATACACGCCCAGAATGCTAGGCTCCGTTCCGCTATGCTTCGTTGCCATTCTCCACCTCCCTCTTTCAATTCCGAACTCTCATCCCTATTCTTCCCTTCCCACGCTTTCTCTTCTTTCACCTCCCTACACTCCTACCTTTACCTCCCTATGAAAAATCGCCTACCATACCCTCCCATCCTTGGTACCATGGTTCCCTTCTCTCCCGTGCCACTCTCCCACTCCCCCTGCACTGCGAGGGCGCGGCAAGGCGCACCGCGATGAGGGCGACGTTAACGTAGAAGTCCACCAGCGTCGCGCGCATCCACCTGCGCTCGCCGCCACACGTCGCCGCGCGCACGCGCAAAGGCACGGAAAAGAAAAGCGCCGGGATAGAGGGGAGGGGAAGCAAGAAAACGGGTAAGTCGCGCAGTTAGGAAGAGTTGCAAGGACGAGCACACACGACGAGCGCGAGGCGCGTGATGGGCGATGCGGTGGATGGTATCATTCCAATGGTGGGGCGCGGCGCATGGCGACATGCAACGAGGAAATTTTGAAAGCCTGGAGGGCGGAGGCAAGGCGAGAGCGTACGGGGTGAGCACGACCCATCGGAAGGGCGAGCCGTCGGTGAGGCATGTGTGCACCACGGCTGCGAGCGTGCACAGGCCCAGCGCCGCGACGACCGCTCGAGCTGCTTGCACCGGCGACATGGCAGGCGACGCCAGCAGAGCACTGCGATGGTAGAAAGAAGGAAGGTGGTAACGCACAGTGCCGTACGCTGTATTGTAAGGAATGCGCTGAAGAAAAATAAATTCAACCACTATCACTACTACTAGTGCAATTGAGCGAGCGAGCGAGAATTGCACTATCGAAGCAAAACAGTACAATGAGCGAAGGAATAAGCTAGACCTAAATAGCGAAGGCCACAGTGGTAACGGTAACGAACTGTGGGTGACGCGCGACGGGCCTGGGACTGAGGTTGGGAAGTGTTAGAATATATATTTATATATATTTATGTACCTGCCTGTAGCTGTAGCTTTAGTGTAGTTATAAACTCTTTGTATTGGTGGTGCACCTCCTTTGTCTCTTATTTGTACCCACAATTTTATAGTGAAACCCCCTTTCCTTTCTACTCTTGATAGTTGCCTAGCCCTCAAACCCTAGGCACTACTAAGGACATTCTAACATGGTGTCAGAGCTGGTTCTTTCCTAGAACCTTCTCTTCTTTTTTTTTTTTGAGTAACATGGGCCCGCCTTTCCTGCAGCGCGAAATGCGCTTTTTTTTTTTCTTCGTCCCGTCGCCCGCGGCCCCCCGTTTCGTCGCCCGCGGCCCCCCCGTTCCCGTCGCCCGCGGCCCCTCGTTCCCGTCGCTCGCTGCCTCCCGTTCCCGTCGCCCGCGACCCCTCGTTCCCGTCGCCCGCGGCCCCCCGTTCCCGTCGCCCGCAGCCCGCCCAGCGCCTCGCCAGGCGCCTGCGCGGACGCTAGCGACGAGCGCCAGCGCCAGCGCCAACGTCTACGCCAGCGCCAGGCGCCAGCGATAGCGCCAACAGCAGCTACCGTCGCCCCCCCCACCCGCCCTTCCTTCCGCGACTTCCGTCGTGGGGAGGGGGGGAGGGGGAGACGTGGGGTGGCGGGTGTGAATCACCAGCAGGCCGTCCCTCCCTTCCCTCTTCCTCTCTCCCTGCAGCACTTGGTGCTGTGGGGGGGGGGGGGATGAGAGATGCTAAGGGAGGGTAAGAGAGAGTGGTGGAACCAGTAGCCACGCATCTGCAGCTGCCGTCCACTGCTACTGTGGCACCTACTTCTGCAGCCCCTGACGCTTCTCCCTCTACGTTCGTCTTCTTTGCTGTTGAGCTGCAAACTAAGCGCGCCACAGCACATCGTCTTCTTTGCTGTTGAGCTGCAAACTAAGCGCGCCACAGCACATCGTCTTCGTTCTCTCTTTCTTGCCTCAGGGCTTGCTGCAGCTGTCTCTGCTACCACTGCATTGGTTGTCATTGCACTTGCCTACTGCTACTGCTTTCTGTGTTCGTATTGTACCCATCCAGGAGTTGTTGCTGCACAAGCTCCTGCTGCAGGCAGTTATGGGGGAGTGTTAGAATATATATTTATATATATTTATGTACCTGCCTGTAGCTGTAGCTTTAGTGTAGTTATAAACTCTTTGTATTGGTGGTGCACCTCCTTTGTCTCTTATTTGTACCCACAATTCTATAGTGAAACCCCCTTTCCTTTCTACTCTCGATAGTTGCCTAGCCCTCAAACCCTAGGCACTACTAAGGACATTCTAACAGGAAGAGTCGAAGCGGAGGCCCGGAGCCCGGGTTTCCAGCCGAGCCGTGAGGTTGGGGTGCGACGGGCGAGGTGGTGGGTAATGGTGTCGCGAGTAGTAATGGTGGCGAGTGTGGCGAGTACAGTGATGTACGCGCTAAGCAGGGATGCGGCGTAAGGAAATAGAAATTTCTTTACACTACCCCCCCCCCCTTAAGGAGGCCCTCCTTACGAGAGTGCGTCATCCCGGAAATTGCTGCGCAGATAGTCGGTGAGGACGGGGTGGTTTTCAATCTTGTCCAAGGAACCCAGTTGTCTTCAGTTGGGGTGCCGTCTTTCCATCGAATCAGGAACTCGATCCTGCGAGCTCCACGTGGGTCATGAACTCGGTGGCTCAGAACTTTGTCAAACATATATGCTGGATATTGTCTAGGCTGTAGTGGGGTAGCCCATATGGGGTACAGCCCAATTAGGGTT